ATTAGGCGCAATGAACCACCGAACATTTGAGATAAGTGTGTTACAGGTGGATGCCACTGTATTGGCTCAAAGCCATACTACCCAGAATGCTTTGCTCAGCCTGGTGCAGTTTGGTTAGGACTGTGCTTATAGCCAGTATCGCTATGACCGGTTTTCGGCCATTGCGTCCCTGATGCACTGGAAAGCAGTGTATCTCGTGACCGGTGTCCTTGCATGGGTTTCTCTGATCCAGGCATCCCTGTTCCAGTGAAGATGACTGACAAAACAGCTCGCGTTCTGATCATGGTTAGATAGCCCCGAACTGCGACGGCAAGCCCTACCGTCCGCAAACAAGAAAAGCGCTTGCTGCAAATCACGTCTTGCGATCCATGTCCAAATTCAGCCGGCTATGGCTCAAAGGTTGTAATATTTTTCATTAAGTGTTATCGGTATGAAACCAGTTTAATGTTACAGCATATTGCTCTTAATTTTGAACCCAAAACACACCATTTTTAAGACTCGACATGGAGAAAGGATTTGGAAGCGACGCGGGACTTGTTTCCTTTTGGGATACCGGCAATGTACTCTGAGAGGTGACTGCACCTCGACATCGCGTCACCAGTACTGGGTGGTGCTGTCTGCCCAGTACCACACAAGCTTATCGCAGACATTTAACGATAATTTGGGGACTGAACACAAGAACTTTAAATACATTTATTCCGAAAAGTATGTGAGTGTGGCTTTGGGTCGAAAGAGCCTAACAAGCATAGCTTGCTGCGTGCACCCTGACTTCGGCAACGAGACCACCAGCAGCTCATCATGGCTTCAGCACCGAGACCACCAGCAGCTCATGGCTTCAGCAACGAGACCACCAGCAGCTCATCATGGCTTCAGCACCGAGACCACCAGCAGCTCATCATGACTTAAGCAACGAGACCACGAGCAGCTCATGGCTTCAGCAACGAGACCACCAGCAGCTCATCATGGCTTCAGCAACGAGACCACCAGCAGCTCATCATGACTTCGGCAACGAGACCACCAGCAGCTCATCATGACTTCAGCAACGAGACCACCAGCAGCTCATGATGACTTCGGCAACGAGACCACCAGCAGCTCATCATGACTTCAGCAACGAGACCACCAGCAGCTCATGGCTTCAGCAAGGGAGACCACCAGCAGCTCATCATGGCTTCAGCACCGAGACCACCAGCAGCTCATCATGACTTAAGCAACGAGACCACGAGCAGCTCATGGCTTCAGCAACGAGACCACCAGCAGCTCATCATGGCTTCAGCAACGAGACCACCAGCAGCTCATCATGACTTCGGCAACGAGACCACCAGCAGCTCATCATGGCTTCGGCAACGAGACCACCAGCAGCTCATGGCTTCGGCAACGAGACCACCAGCAGCTTATCATGGCTTCAGCAACGAGACCACCAGCAGCCCATCATGGCTTCGGCAACGAGACCACCAGCAGCTCATCATGGCTTCGGCAACGAGACCACCAGCAGCCCATCATGGCTTCGGCAACGAGACCACCAGCAGCTCATGGCTTCGGCAACGAGACCACCAGCAGCTCATCATGGCTTCGGCAACGAGACCACCAGCAGCCCATCATGGCTTCGGCAACGAGACCACCAGCAGCTCATCATGGCTTCGGCAACGAGACCACCAGCAGCTCATCATGACTTCGGCAACGAGACCACCAGCAGCTCATCATGACTTCGGCAACGAGACCACCAGCAGCTCATCATGACTTCGGCAACGAGACCACCAGCAGCTCATCATGGCCTCAGCAACGAGACCACCAGCAGCTCATCATGACTTCAGCAACGAGACCACCAGCAGCTCATCATGGCCTCAGCAACGAGACCACCAGCAGCTCATCATGACTTCAGCAACGAGACCATCAGCAGCTCATCATGACTTCAGCAACGAGACCACCAGCAGCTCATCATGACTTCAGCAACGAGACCACCAGCAGCTCATCATGGCCTCAGCAACGAGACCACCAGCAGCTCATCATGACTTCAGCAACGAGACCATCAGCAGCTCATCATGACTTCAGCAACGAGACCACCAGCAGCTCATCATGACTTCAGCAACGAGACCACCAGCAGCTCATCATGACTTCAGCAACGAGACCACCAGCAGCTCATCATGACTTCAGCAACGAGACCACCAGCAACTCATCATGACTTCATCAACGAGACCACCAGCAACTCATGACTTCAGCAACGAGACCACCAGCAACTCATCATGACTTCATCAACGAGACCACCAGCAGCTCATCATGACTTCGGCAACGAGACCACCAGCAGCTTATCATGACTTCGGCAACGAGACCACCAGCAGCTCATGGCTTCATCAACGAGACCACCAGCAACTCATCATGACTTCAGCAACGAGACCACCAGCAACTCATCATGACTTCATCAACGAGACCACCAGCAACTCATCATGACTTCAGCAACGAGACCACCAGCAGCTCATCATGGCTTCAGCAACGAGACCACCAGCAGCTTATCATGGCTTCAGTAACGAGACTACCAGCTGTTTATCATGGCTTCAGCAAGGGAGACCACCAGCAGCTTATCATGGCTTCAGCAACGAGACCACCAGCATCTTATCATGGCTTCAGCAAGCGAGACCACCAGCAGCTTTTGGCTCCAGCAACGAGACCACCAGCAGCTTATCATGGCTTCAGCAAGAGAGACCACCAGCAGCTTATCATGGCTTCAGCAACGAGACCACCAGCAGCTCATCATGACTTCAGCAACGAGACCACCAGCAGCTCATCATGACTTCAGCAACGAGACCACCAGCAGCTCGTGGGATGCTACACTCCTTGCGTGCCTTTATTCTGTTTACGTGAGCTGGCCGAATTCATTAGGGCTGGTAAATGTTTATCTATGCTATACTTGACGTGTAAACCTACTTCAATACAGCATTGGCGCTCAACGGTAGGAGTTAATACACCAGTGCACGCAGTGACTTGTTCTAACAAGTATTTCGCAAATGGAGCTTAGACCCCTCCCCGCCTATTGCAGGGCGCTAAATCTCTTTTATGAGACCCCAAATGTACAAACAGAACAGGGTAGCAAATTTCAGTATTCAAACTAGAACGGTTCGATAACGAACTGGGGGAAATCCACGAAATGGTGAACCAGGCGACGTTTGAATTTGGATTGTATTGCACGTAATTGCTTTAAATAGTGCAAACGACCTCAAAGCAAGGCGCCTGTATGTTTTAAACGCCGAACGTTACTGTATGGGCTGGGCATGCCTGTGTGACACAAGTTGTCTGGCTCAGTAAGCTCTGGATAGCGTCAGATGTTCAAATCGGTATGTCCTCAAAGATGCCAGGCGCGGCCAAGTCAGGCCGCGGCTGGAAATGCCGGACTTTGTATTGAAACAGTTCAGTCCGACCCAGACTGCGTGGTTTCATTCAGACTGCAGTGCAGCGCAGTTAACAGTTGCTTGCTACAGCGCCAGAATTGGCAAAATTCAGATGCAGACAGCATGAACCAATTTAGGCGGTCCGGCCAAAATTCGACGGCCCAGTCCAAACCGGGCAGTCCGGTCCAACTGCGACGCTGCGGTCCAACTGGGATGGTCCGCTCCAACTGAGACGGTTCGGTTCAACTGAGACGCGGCCGTCTGGGCGTCGGCTGGCGCCGCGGGATGACCTGGAGAGGGCAGCAGCGGGCACGGGACAGCACGACAGCGGGCCAGCAATGGCGCGGGATTAACGCTCCGTCATGCCGGCGCCATTCGCCGCGCTTCTGGAAAGTCAGGTCACGTTAATCCAGCGCGGACGGCCCGGCTCAGCCGCTGACGTCACAACACAGGGCGGTGGCGTGGCGGCAGCTGACGTCACAGCACGGGGCGATGGTGTGACGGCAGCTGACGTCACAGCACGGGACGGTGGTGTGGCGGCAGCTAACGTCACAGCACGGGGCGATGGTGTGACGGTAGCTGACGTCACAGCACGGGGCGATGGTGTGACGGCAGCTGACGTCACAGCACGGGGCGATGGTGTGACGGTAGCTGACGTCACAGCACGGTGCGGTGGTGTGGCGGCAGTTGACGTCACAGCACGGGACGGTGGTGTGATGGCAGCTGACGCGGCTGCCTGCGTCACTAGACCGGCAATGTTTGGTCGCGTTTGCGCTGCAGCTTCGAACGATTGTGCTCTGTTTTGCAAGCGAGTGCAAGCGAGTTCAAAGGCAGCATTCATTTTGCAATTGTATAAGGCTCATAATCCCGTCGAAGTGAGCGGATATGTAGGACCGTTCCAGTAATACTGGGGACTCTAGAAAATTGGATGGATCGCTATTGAACGTTTTTAGCAGAGGCGTACGAGCGGCGTACAGTGGAAGGCTACTACCGCATTTAAATCAAGGATTCCCCAGCGTAGTCAGTGGTGAGAGAGCTTCATTATGCGCTGGCAAACGTTTCGAAATCACCGCATCCGGTGAGGTCATTTGCCGTCCTTGAGGTCGGGCCGTTGTTGTTTTGTCGGACATCGCGAGGAAGAACTCGAGAGCTGTTGCGACATCAGGCTGCTGTTGCGTTGCACGGATCACAGGCGAGAGAATAGCAGCGACCACATGCATATAGGTGGCTTCTGTGCCTCTTGTTTATCTTGCAATGACTGTATTCCGATGACTCGGAAGTGCGGGAATATGTTATTGAATAAATGCAAGTTACGGTCATTTACGATTTTTTGGCGCTGGTTTATCCAGTGACGAGGATAACAAACTGGCTTGCATCATTAGGTCGTGATAAATACCACTGTTGTGGGTCAGATGGTGTCCCAACAGAAGTGAAACATACGTAAATGTACGCAGAAGGGCCTCTATAGCCAGGGCCTCCGCGCTGGTTGCCTTTGGTCGGATACGATCTACCAACGTCTGCAGCTAGGGTACAGTTTACCCCATTCATGAGGGCTGCAGGAGACCCGATACTCCGCATAGTGATTCTGCATACTGACCTGCGTAACGGGTCGTCTTCCAGGCGGACCAGACCGGTTGGTGGCTCTCTGGCCGGCACACGGCGGAGTGGAGGTCTCCAGCACGCCTGCGGCTCGACTGACTCCGACCTGACTGGACCTGACCTGACCCCACCCGGGTCGTGGCCATGGCAACCCCGGCCGTCGCCGCCGCCGCCGAGGCGGTCGAGAAAGTCGGCATCAACGTGGAGGAGCTCATCACCCGGTTTTCGACGGTGGACTACGTGGTGTTCGCGTTGCTGCTGGCCATCTCGCTGGGCATCGGCCTCTACTACGGCCTGTGCCACAGCAGTGAGATGAACGACACCGAGGGCTACCTGCTGGGCGGCCGTCAGATGGGCACCTTGCCCGCCGCCATGTCCCTCATCGCCAGGTGGGTCCGCTGGGGCGGCAGGCCGGCGGCCGCCGCACCATCGACAGTCCGCGGAGGGCAGGGATACTCCGGCACTGTGGGAGGACGCTTCAGAGCCGCAGGTGAGCGGTCGGAGGCGCCGAGGCCTGCCGGGGCGGTTGGAAAGCAGGGATAGACACGCCTGAGGACTGGAGGCGGGTCGGAGCCGCCAAGGCCTGGCGGGGCGGTTAGACACGCCCGGACGGTAAGACACGCCTGAGGACTGGAGGCGGGTGGGAGGCGCCGATGCCTGCCGGGGTGGTTAGACACGAACGGACGGTAAGACACGCCTGAGGACGGGAGGCGGGTTGGGGGCGCCGAGGCCTGCCGGGGCGGTTAGACATGGCCGGACGGTAAGACACGCCTGAGGACTGGAGGCGGGTCGAAGCCGCCAAGGCCTGGCGGGGCGGTTAGACACGCCCGGACGGTAAGACACGCCTGAGGACTGGAGGCGGGTCGGAGCCGCCGAGGCCTGCCGGGGCGGTTAGACACGCCCGGACGGTAAGACACGCCTGAGCACGGGAGGCGGGTCGGAGGCGCCGAGGCCTGCCGGGGCGGTTGGACATGCCCGGACGGTAAGACACGCCTGAGGACGGGAGGCGGGTCGGAGGCGCGAGGCCTGCCGGGGCAGTTAGACACGCCAGGACGGTGAGACACGCCTGAGGACGGGAGGCGGGTCGGAGGCGTCGAGGCCTGCCGGGGCGGTTAGACACGCCCGGACGGTAAGACACGCCTGAGGACGGGAGGCGGGTCGGAGGCGCCGAGGCCTGGTGGGGCGGTTAGACACTGCCCGGACGGTAAGACACGCCTGAGGACTAGGGGCAGGTAGTCGAGGGAGATAGCAGCTGGATGATACAGCGCATCAGATGATTTGTACGGGGACATCGAGTCACTGGCGACTGGGTGGTCAGTGCCGAGACGGATGGCCGGCACAGCAGTGCAGATGCCGCCCGATGACGGCGTAAACGCTGAGGCCGGTCAGAGCCCTCTGTCCTCTGTCCAGTACATGACTGCAGGGGCTGCACCTGCCCCAGCTCACAAGTGGAATGCGGCTGCAGCCATTTGATCCTGCTATCGTTATTTGCAACTGGCTACGGCTTTAGTTTCCATAACCGGCCGTGCTTAGTGGCCTCCATTATTTAGGAGCGCATTTCTGCTGGTACGAAGAACGACCCACCGCATTGGTGCAACGCAGGATACGCAGGGTAAAACACAGCAGGGAAAGTTGTATGACTCCTAGAAGTCGTCCCATTTTTGTCTGGACCATCAGCAACTGTAACCGTCTCTAAACTTATCTGGGCGAAGGTGTCATACACGGGTTGTGTAATATGAGCCCCGCAGGAATTGATCAAGTAATGTGTAAGACCCCCGAAGGTGGTATTATTGTGATTAGCGATGCTGGCGCAACAAGTGAATCATCTCTTCCTCCCATGCATTTTGCTTCACGTTCATCACTAGCAAGGTATTTTAACTAGCGTAACCGTATTTTTATATTCCGTCACCAGGTTATCGCAGGTCAAAACAACACTCAAACGAGGTGCGACACATCTCGGATAATTAAGATAATGTGCGTCATGCCACATCACCCATACCCTTGTCTTACAACACTGCCTGACTCTGAGGTCAAGCTCCGTCTGATTAACCCCCGACGTCTCCACAAAGCAGAGCCGAACCTGCTGCCCTGGACAGCAGGCCTGCTTCCTGCCAGTGCTCGCTGTGCGGTCGTCAGCTGCCGTGCCGCCTATGGGCCGCGTGTTGCCGCCATCTGACGTTGATCTGCTTCCCTCCAGCTTCATGTCGGCCATCACGCTGCTGGGTACGCCCGCCGAGGTGTACCAGAACGGCACACAGTACTGGATCATCGGCTTCTCCTACTTCATCGTGATGCCGGCCGCCGCCTACCTGTACATGCCCGTCTTCTTCAACCTGCGCGTCATCTCCGCCTACGAGGCAGGTGGCCAGCGCTCTCGACTCGCGCGCTTCAAGGGCGCATATGTGTGGGGAATGCACTCGTTCTGTTCGCCTGAGTGGCTGCCTGGTCTCCGGATCCCACCGCCTTTCGCGTTGCATCTTGGGTATCGGCTTGTTATTATGACATGCGGCCTCAGACAAGACGAGTGTGCCGGCGAGAAAAGCGAGCGAGTGTCTTAAGTGTCTGAGCAAGAGAAGACAAGTCAGAAAGATGGCGTTCTAATTCTTGTTTTGAGCTCTGCATTCCTTTAAAAGTGTTTCGGTGGAAGAGTTGTTTCGCGCATTTTGGAATGCCCTGAATGGCTGCGGTCGTGTGATATCGCAGCAGGCCAACACTATGTCAGGCGGTAGCTACCGCCCATCATGATATATATTTGCCTGTCTTTAACCGACATTTTCCTCTGGTGTTCTCAGTACCTGGAGTTGCGGTTTCATCGCGTGGTTCGGGTCACTGGAGGCGCTATATTTTGCATACAAATGGTGAGCGAAGCATTTAATCCTTGGGAACCACACATGACAAGCCGCGCAAACAGTGAACATAAGGCTAACGAATGGCCTCTGAGATAAGAGGGCATTCGTTCGTTGGCAACACCACGCAGCCGTAATTCTCCCTTTATTGTGGGTTACAGCCGTGGACGCATCGTTCTCGCGAACAAAGCCACACGTTAGCGTATTATTGACTTATTTTTCAAATTCATTCTTGAATGCCAAATGCATTGACGATCGTCGACCTTGTGCATCTCATTGCTCATGTTGGTGTACGCCATATGAACTCATCACGACAGACACATAACCATCGTTTTTAACTTGGAAATCAGCGTTCTAGGAGCTAGTATTGATACATTGGTGCAGAAAGGTTTGACAGCAATTTGGTGCAGCCTGTGCGTATAATCGTGAACACCTCAGATCAAACTGCCATCAAGTTTCCATCAAAGTTGGCGTGGCCTGATCCTGTGACGTGTTGCAGTGCATCTACATGGCCATCGTGGTCTACGCCCCATCACTGGCGCTGTCTCAAGGTAAGTGTGATCGTGAAAATGAAACACTGACAACTCCATTCGTGTCTTGGATATTAATGGCGTGGAAAGTGACCACATGTCGCGAACTTTACACTATATCTGCCCCTTTTTCCTTTACAAGATCTTAAAAGGCTCAACTTTTGGCATAATGGCGGTGTGTTGAGCCTTATTTGCTTGCATGCTTGGACCGTTTGCACGGCTCGGAACCTGCTCGCGCGTTCTCAAGCTAATTTTTAGCGGCGTTAAAGCACCTCTGACCAGCAAGTCATTTTCCAAAATAAAAGCGTAAGAATTAGCTATTTCTCCAACTTTTGTTTCCTCAGTGACTGGAATAAACGTCTACCTTTCGGTGTGCGTCATCTTCTTCGTCTGCATTATATACACGACGCTGGTGAGTGGCTGAGTTCTCATCAGCGCAATTACCTCGGTGTGGCAAACCGGTTTAATGCCGACCAAATATGGCTAGACTTTTCGGTCGCTGGCCCCTGTCCAATCAAGGCAGCTTCCAGAGAACCGGTTTGCTCACGCTTTCACCTATCACTTCCTTCTATCAAGTGCCATTATTACTTTGCAAACTAAGTACTATGCAAAACTCAGTTTGGGAGAGCTGGCGTCAACAGGCAAATTATTGTCACATTTATTTTAGTTATATTGATATATATATATATATATATATATATATATATATATATATATATATATATATATATATTGTAAAATTTATTTTCATCTAAACATAGTACGTGCGCACATGCGCGTGCTGTCCCGTTCCACTCCGCTCGCGCGTGCGTGTGTGCAGCTAACGCGCGACCCCACCAACGTGCCCGCGCGCGAGTGCCCTCTGCCGCGCGCGGCGAATGCGTTCTCCCCCGGACTACCAGACGTGCTCTTCTCTACAACAGCTGTCGTGGGCGGGGCGGTGGCGCCGGCTCACCGCGCCAGTGATCGGTCTGGGGTCCGCTACTCTGAAGTCTCGGTCGCTCTCGGCAGAGCGGTATGAAGGCAGTGCTCTAGACTGATACCGTCCAGGTGATGGAGGGAGCGCCGGCTCGCCACGCCAGTGATCGGTCTGGGGTCCGCTTCTCTGAAGTCTCGGTCGCTCTTGGCAGGGCGGTATGAAGGCAGTGCTCTGGACGGATACCGTCCAGGTGGTCATCATGTTCGGCGCCATGCTGGCTGTCATCATCAAAGGCTCGTTCGATGTCGGAGGGTTCAGCGAAGTCTGGGAGATATCGAGACAAGGAGACCGGATAGAGTTCTTCAAGTAAGTCTGGTGCAGTCTGAATTGAATGCATAGAACAGAGCGAATGAGATGGGTCGGGACCTTCCCGCTTCCCGTAAGCTTGCACGGGCTTAGACGTTGGTTGTAGAGCGTTGCAAAACCTGAACATAACGCAGGCGTCTTAATGCGCCACGCCACGACAACCACTGTGTGTTGACGCAGAACGAAACGTCCACACATAAATGATAAACTCCAAAGTGAGCAGAAAACATAATCTAATTACATGAATGATTTGATCAGGTGGCGTTGGCAGCAGTTCTCGCTAAATGCACCTTGGTCCATGAATATTGATCCCACCACTCCAGTGGTCTTGGCAATGGACAAATTTTACCCTGGTTTGTCATCTAGGCAGTGCAGGGGATATGTAGTGACTTTGCAACAACGTGACATGGCCGCCCTGTCATAACACGCGCTCGGGGGGGGGGGGGCAAATCGGCCTCCCCGAAATATTTTCCAGAATGGTTTCCGAACTGCGTAGTACAGCCGAGCCCAATTTCGCATAGGCTGTAGAAAAGTGAATAGCGGATCATTTGGTATTAACAATTTAGACGTATCTTGTAAGGTCGCTGACCTACGGCAGGTCAAAGTCAGGCCATGGAATCTGCGAAGTCAATTTCTAGGAAGTCGTTCAATCTGGTGCAACAACGAAGTGTTAGACGAGACCATACATCTCCGAGATACTTTCTTAGGCAACACTTTAATGGAATGAACAAATTTAATTGAGCTAAGGTCAGTTTTAAAGGTCGGACCAAGGTCAAAGCCAAACTGTTTTATTACTCTAGGGCTTGCTGTATGGGGTAGTTCGTGGTGCTCATTTCGAATTTATTGATAACAGGAACCGCATTATACATCTTCCATGCGCTTTTCAAAGGTCAGTATAGGTCATTGACCTAAAACCACCCGTGTCAACATTTTGTTTTTAGGAGTATACTGCCTAGCGTAATATTTGTCGCTTACTAAAATACAAACCATAAAGCGTCTTGTATGATTTTGGTCATCATGACCTTGAAAAGCTTAAACAAGGTCACTATCCTCAAATGATGATGCAACCTTTTGCAAAGAACAGGGATCTAGGGTCTGGGGTCACTTTGCAGACCAACCTGTGTGTTGACCTTGTTTGACCTTATTTGACCCCAGGGTCACGACTTGGGAACCTCAAGTTTTGACCTAAGTGAGTTTAGGTGCAGGTCAACACACCCTGTAAATTTGGTGTCTCTAGCTCTCTTAGTTTCTGAGATCTCAGGGGGTTCAATTGACCCCCACCCGAGTGAAGGGTGTCTGGCCGGTGTCTGGAGGTCTCGCGATTAGTGCTAGTTTGCATGTTGTTAGGCCAGCCATTGCCCCCGTTACGCCAGGTGAAAGGTAAACTTTTCCGTAAAATCGCACTTTTTCAGCTTAACAACGTTAAAGGTACGAGACCACACCTTATGGCGACACGAAATCTAAACAGGAGTGTTTATTGTTTAATTATGAGTACGATGGTGTACGTTTGCATGTGTTTGGAGCAATCGTTAAGATACCTTCGTTTATGTAACAATGTGGGCCCGTCGTGCGCGATCCGCGGCATCGTCGGATGCCGCCCGCCGGCCGCGCCGGGCCGTGTATCGCCGTGCGGTGATCCTCAACAATGGTGTCAAAACATGCGCGATAAATCCACCAAAAACCACTGAAAATTTAAATGCGATTACACAATATGCCGGAGAGGTATCCTCAAAAAAAAACATGAGGAGGTCGCATCGAACCCTTATCAGGGCGGGGGTTGATATTATTCCATAAAACACTCGACCCTAACCAATCGACTCCATGCGCATGTATGATAGAGCTCTTCGGGCTGACCGCGCCATCTGACCGGCGAACGCACGCGCTGTCTGGCAGCTTTGACCCCAACCCTGGAGTACGGCACACTGTCTGGACGCTGGTGGTCGGCGGCTACTTCACCTGGATCACCATCTACGGCGTCAACCAGGCCCAGGTGCAGCGCTACCTGTGCGTGCCCACCAAACGCCAGGCGGCCACGTGAGTGCTCTGCCCGCCTGCCGTGCTCGCGTCAAACTCCGGGTGAGCGTTGTCTGTCCGAATACGGAACGTCCGTCTTCTCTTGCAGCACCAGGGATCCATGACAGCGTTGTGCCTGTGCACTGTTTGCTTAATGTATTCCTGCCGCTTTACAAGGCTGCTCACCTTGAGATAGAGCCTTCCCGCCTCGTCCTTGTTGGCCGTGGCCTCGATATGCCGTGATCCGTCCTGCACCGCTCTTTATTTGATTATTAGGCTTCTGCCAGACTCTGAGCGGTCGCCAGCCATCAGTCTCTGGAGTAATTAGCAGCATATTTCGTTCATACACCTGAATCCGCAATCATTATGGAGCACAGCCGACCCTTCCCAGTATCTGTTGCGGTAACTTCCGGACCATCCCAGCTGGGTTCACATGTTTGTTGTCCGTATGGTGGCGAATGGGGTATGCTACGGTGGACAGCATTGACTCATTTCAGTTCAACAAATGATGAGGACATTTCGCTTCGCGCGGCTTTCCCCTCTACAGACAACAATGTGCCGTTTCTTTTCTTGTTTGGGATTTCTATTCGTTTCACCAATTGGTAGTTTCATTATTTGCCAGAATGTACGATGATACCCGGCTGAATGACACCAGGTCGCCGCCAGCAGACGTGCGAGGTCGACCTGTTGCTGTTGAAACAAAACTGGTCGCGTCGGAAGTTCGCGATAAGTCCAGCGCGCGGCTCGCGAAACATCCCAGGCAGCGTCGGGGGAACAATGTATTTTGGCGATGGGATTGGTGTCGCCTTCCATTCTGATAGCTGGTTACTATGAACGGCTGAACGAAACCCCGCAAACCAACGTTTGCGTGAACGGGACAGACGTCGCCAGCATGCCTTCCTTGAACTATTCCCTGCATATGTTCAGCGGATTGTCGCACACGCGATACGCGCACTCCGTCAGTGGTGTCTTCCCCCTCAGTATCTTGCTGACGGACGCAGTTTTCGCTGTGTTTTCCACACCACGTGACGACGACTGTTTACGCTGGCGGGGTGGTCGGGGTGGTCGCTGGGTTTACACTGGCGTCTTGCAACTGCATTTATTTCCAAGGTCTTAACTCAGGAGGGCTCCCAAATCTTGCGAAGGGCACCTTTGTAGACTTTTATCTACACGCACCACGAATCATGGCACATTTGGGTGCATAGAATGGCATAGTAATGTTCTTTTGAGCTTATGCTAAAGCGCTAAAGATACGAAACAGCAGCCGAAATGCGGGGTTATCCTCGTTTAGCACAAATGCCAGACGTTTTGGGATGTACGGAAAGCTTGCGCTCAGGAACCAAACTGTGCCGCTCCGATGACCTGCGCTGGCAGTACAGCCAGGTGACTACCGAACTGTGGGCCGCCACCCATAGCATTGTACCCGGGGAACTGACAGAAGATAGGCATGCCGACTAGCTCCAGGAAATGTGCTTACCCGGCGGGTCCCCTGATGAACATATGGTAATCTATGAGAGCCAGGCTGTAGGAGGATTGATATGGGAAAAGAGGTCTCAAGCAGCCGTTTTTGTTGTTTTATTTTGCTAGTGTAAGTTATGTTCTAAATTAAATTCATTACAATAGGAAGTACTGGCTCAATGACGTTAGCGAGAAAACATTAGTTCATATATTTTGTCCGTTTATGTATATATTTAAACAAAAAGCTTATAAAAAATGAGTTATATACCTAGATTTACATCCATTCCTACCATCTGCTCAATTGCCGACTGATATCAATAATCCCCTCGCAGCCACAGCAGTCCAGCAAGCCAGAAGCAGCAGCAAGCCGTTTAAGAGCCCAGTTGGTTTTTTCCGCAATCGCCCTGACCACCCCGGCTCTCGTCACTGCTGGGCGCCGCCTGGCATGTGTCTCAGCAAACGACTTCCTGAACTTGATCGCGGGCCACACAGGGTCCAGGCAGAGTGTGTTTACACCTCGCACGCAGGACCGTCGTGCTAGCACCACGCGCGCCGTGCCGGGAGTCTGGCCCGCAGTGACTCTCAGTCAGGGGGTGAGGTGAGATGTTTGCTTTTTTCGTCACGTGTGGTCAGTGAATACACTCACCACGCCTAATTTCGGCACAAGGCGCTGGGGTCGAGGACCTTTCTTTTGGAATGCACTTAAATGCTAACACGCTCAATTTTTTTTGCTTAGCACGAGTGCAAAAGTGCGCCGTTCGACACCACGTGGTCGAATGGCCGGAGCGGAACAGGCATAGACCTGTGGGTCAAGGACGTTGTGACCTTTGGTCAAAAAAGTTCAAAATTGTGAATCTCTGCATTTTGGACAAAGAAACTGCACTTACCCGAATACAAAAACATAAGATGCATGCACTGACTCGCCGTAATCAATTTGCTGGTGGCGAACTAGCAAGGAGAATAGGAGTTTATATTTTGTGGCCCAGTGGCTGGGGCGCAACGAGGTTCTTAGTATGGAAGAGATGGGACTGACGAAGGGCCCCTGCTGATAAAAATCACCCTCACAAAGAACTGCTCAGTGGATGTGACCTCCTTTTTCGGAAGGAACCAAGTTTCTTCGTTCTGGTTTTGTTTTGTCGCTTTTTTGACCGAAATGGGAGCTAGAAGCTACGAAAAGATGCCTTTATTTTTGCATTTATTAGTCAACGAAACGAGGGGAGCTAGTATTAAATGACGAGATCAGGTAACCTACCAATGGCATCCGATTACAACAGCTCCTTCGGCCTTTTCTAAGCTGGTGGAAGTTGAGGACGTTGTCATAACTGTCTGGGGTTCTCCCGAAATAGCGAGCGGCCGCATAGGTAGCCCACCAGATTAGATGGAAACCCGGGAAAACTGTAATGCTGTGACAAAATCATGCTCACCGGAAATAGCCACCCTGCCTTGGTATCGGTCAGTAGAGAATATAAAAAACTGGGCATGCGCACTCGCCGTCTTTCGGAGCAAGAACGCCTACGCCCAACGTTGCAGTCTCCGTCGGCCGTATCTTGCGTGGGCCACGTAGTTGACTTACCTGAAAAGGCCAGTACTTTCAAACGCTTAGTGAAATAGAGTCGTACAGAAGGTAGACCAGTTTGCGTATTTTCAGCTGTACCATTTTCTGCTGATATTTGGGATGGGCTAGCATTTGCAGCTCCACGAACTCTTGACGCAATGGTGGATTCTATATTGCTCGTGTGGCTATGACTGCTAATCTGTTGAGATGTTCAACCTCTAAATTTCATGGCTGAAAGGTACGCCCCAGTTTAATTTTCAACCAGTACAAGTTGACCCTCAAACGCTTACGGAGCCGTGATTTTCCGACACGTCTGTATTGCCGCGTGCCCGCGCCCTAATGCGACGGCCGGCGCAGGTCGGTTCGACGCGCCCTAATGCGACGGCCGGCGCAGGTCGGTTCGACGACCGCTGCCGCGCCGGGCACCGGTGTTCTTTGTCCAGAGATTGCGAGCGCGCATAAAAGCGATCTTAAATACTACGGATTCTACGCGCGCACAACGTCGCGTTTAGATTACGGCTGCCAAAGGACTGGGTGGGCGTGAGCTGCAAGTAAACAGCGTGTTCTCAGTTTAGTGGGAGAGGGATTGCGGCCACTAATGCCAGTGCCTCCCTTCCCTCATCTAACGCGTTTGGAAAAGCTCATCGCGTACTTGTTACAGATAACCAGTCGCAGCGTCCCACGCAGCCGTCTTGACAGAGCCCGCGCACAACCATACGGTTTGTGGGATTTATATAACGGCTTCAGGATCCCAAATCACCGGTTCTGCCAGTGGTGTTACATGATCCTCCAGGGGATTTAAAAAATCCTACAGACATTCACCGCATCAAGGGCTATTTTTCAACCGTTTTTACAGCTGAGCTGGACAGGAGGAGCTTTCAAGAGCTGGACAGCTGTTTTCAACTTAAATAGTATTGCTCAAACAAACAATAACTGGTTAATGAAACATACCAAACCATCTAATGAACCTTCTGAAATGATCCAATGCAATATTCACACATGCTAGTCAGCCATTATAAACAGCTATTGCCACAGTATCTGTGTGCGACTGTCATAAAGCAGAGCATTCAATGAACCATCGCTTGCACACTTTTCTCGCATGTAGTGCCGGAGATGAGTCCAGGCAGATGGCAGCGTTTTGCGCCCAATCAGAGCACCTTGAGCCATTTGGAGCTGCCGCGCGAAGAGCTGATGCCCGGCCAGTTTGATGAGGCCTGGAAGGAAGCAGGATCTGACGATGACAACGTTCTGAGTGTGGCCACTCATTTAACGCTCGCCGCGCAGCAGGACCATGAAAACAGCCTGGATGAGCTCTGAACACAACGTCGCCGAGATGCACATAGGTCGCGGGATCAAAATTTAAGAGATTCTTTACCCCCTAGATTGTGAAGGATTTTATACGTTTACAGCCCTCCCTCACATACACCCGGCTCTTGTGCTGTCTCCGTTACGTCTCGGGTTGCGGACAAACGTACATTATGGTAGTGTAATGCAAATTTGACTGCAGATTTCTACCCTGGGTGCCGGGCCGGGATAAACTGTCCCTGCAGGGTTCGCCGCATCCGGCGTCAAACGGTGGCGGGGGGGGGGGGGGGGATGTGATATGGTTAGTAGCTGCAGCCGCATAGGGAAAAGTAAATATTTTTATTATCGTATTTCTCCATGACATGCAATGAAACGTCCACCAGCTGCCACCGAAGGAACCCGAATGAATAAGTGTAAACTGACCATGAGATTCATGAAGCCGGACGGTAAAATAGCATTTGCAGAGAAGATCCTCCACCATGCCTGTTGTGCTCCCCTTTAGTTCCCACCCTGGTGACGCCTCTGTTGGCGATCCACCCAAACGACTCCAGGGAGCGCCGCTGAAGCCAGCTGTCGGCCGCGGCGGGATTCGGCTCGTTTGTGGGATAAGGCTGGCGGGCGCGCGAGTGACGCGCGGTACACGGTCGTTTATATAGTAAGCCAGATTCCACAGGGCGAGAGGCAGGGACGAGTCCACTGCAACCGCCCTGGTGCACCCACTTTGATTGGAATCTTGCTTGCACGCGGCACAAAATGGTCCCTGGCTGTCACTTAACCTGTACCCCGGATATAACCAGTGACCTCCATTCCGATGACTCGCCTGGTAAGAGCGTCTGCCTTCCGAGCTACCTACCCGTGGCGGGGTGGGTTGGAGTCGCTTTAGGCGCTCGCTATTTGCCCTTGACAGATCTTGCCTGCGGCCGGTGGCAGCGGTCGCGCTGAAGGTCACTTGACGTCAGAGGGCAGGACGGACCGTTCCGAGCATTGCAGGACGTGAAACTTTTGCAACTAAATTCTGTCGTTGCCTGGAATTGCGCAGTCGGGTGATAGGGGTCAGGGCCCACGCAAGTTCTGCCTAGCGTGAGCTCTGATTTGAGAAATATATTCATTCAAAGGGTTCGGACGAGACTTAGCGAAGTCTTAGAGCTGGCTGTGATAATTTGGTGCATGTGTGGTCGACTTGTCCTTGAATTCTCCCATGGGAACATTACCCGTACCAGCCCGTTGCTTAATAATGAATGCTTACACTGGTTCCATACGTACTTTCATCGTTGCGGAACGTTTGTGAATGCGAATATACCCTGTACCCACGCACATTTTCTTACAAATTTGCGTGCAAGCTATTGCGTAGATTTCTGCGAGACAAATTGTATACCGTGCCTTTACATATATTTACCTGCGAACAGCTGCGTACCTGCGTTTTGTATGTGTGCTTTATGGATACGCACTGACCATATTTGCATTTGTCTCAGGCTGTTATGCCTCACCTAACGACTGCCCGTTCGCAGCGCCATCTGGATTAACTGCTTCGGCCTGTTCCTGCTGCTGACCATTTGCGGGTACGCCGGCCTGGTCATCTACGCCAAGTACCATCTGTGTGACCCACTGACCTCCAAGAGTGTCAGCACCCCTGACCAGCTGTTCCCACTGTTCGTCATGGACACCATGGGTGAAATCCACGGCGTGCCCGGCCTGTTCGTGGCCGGCATCTTCAGTGGCGCTCTCAGGTGAGACCGCTGGCCAGCCTCGAAGGCTCATGCAGGTGAAGTCGATGGACGTCCTCAGTGGCGCATTGAGAAGGGGCCTTCAGAGACACAGGCAGATGGGATTGGAGTGCACCTTTCGCAGTGCACTTGCGTGAGACCAGAGAACATCTTCAGCTGCACGCACAGGGAGATCAGAAGGCATGCTCGGTAGCCCATTCGGATGAGATCATTGGATATTCTCAGCGGCACACCCAGGTTCGGTCGAAGGTCATCTTAGACGACTCAGGCGAGACCAATGGTTCTCTGCAGGAGAGATTTTGTGCGAATCAAAGAGCATATTCAGGCGATGTCGGGTCACACCCAGCTAAAAACAATGCGCTGGCGTACTCAGGTGAGATCGATGCCCAGCTTCAGCATGCACTCAGTCGAGATTGATGGTTATGCTTATTTAGAGGTGCTCTGAAATGAGACGGTGTGTCTGAAGTGTTACGCAGCGTTCTTAGTATTTATTCAACACTGTTCAACGGCTTAAGGCAACAAAAGCTCATTCGTCAATGAAAGTCTTTCGTTATTCCGTGTCGAGCTTGATGTCCTGAGTTGTGATGGCAGGCCTTGTTTCTCAGCACTGTGAGCTCTGGAATCAACTCACTGGCTGCCGTGACAGTTGAAGACTTTGTGAAGCCGTTCAGGAAGGTCGCAATTTCCAGTCAGCAGCAGGCCAAGATGTCCAAATTTCTGGCCGTTGGCTTCGGTACGTTCAATAGGCACATAAGAATGCCGCATACAAAGTGCTTAAGCCAAATATATTTTTCACAATCAGTGGGAGTCCTTGGAAGTGCGTTTAAGACGAACCGTCATAATTATTGAATTAACTGATTCCGATTATTTGCTGTCAACATCCTACTTCCACAAGAGAATCTATCAGCGGTGGAAGCCGTCTATTTCTTTGCTCACAGAATGTCATACATGGGCCCGGTATCCCAGAGCAATTCGCATGGTGGCGATAGATCACACGGCGATCCGAGTGAAGCCGTCGTCTTTGTCACCTGGGGTGAAGAGAACGTACCGTCCACCTGGGCTTCTCACATACCGATCGCTCCATACTAATGAGCTCCTGATGCTGTTTACTTATGAAAAGCTTGTTACCAGCACTCCTGGCTTTTAAGTGCAGTGATGGGCGTTCCCAGGTCTGCTCGCGTTTGCCTTGGTCTTCGTCGCCGAACGGCTTGGAGACATCCTGCAGGTTGGTGATGATGGCTTGACACTACGGCAACGACCTCCTGTTTCCTATTGTTGCTTATTTCTTTATTCTTGTCACGCGATAGCGAAATCCGTTAAAACAATTTTTACCAACCTTGTCGTGTTGGCCCCGCTTACAAGATAGCAGAGGTTGATTGTTGGTAGTTGTGATTGGTACTGGAGGGTTCGTTGGTCGTCACAGCTGACGCTTGTGGGGTGACCACCAGGCGGCCCTCAGCATCTTCGGCATGGTTGGCGGCCCTCTGCTGGGCCTCTTCACCCTCGGCATGTTCTTCCCCTGGGCCAACTACATCGTGAGTAGTTCTATTTTGACAGCTGCGTTTTCGTGAAACTATGATACCCGCGTGTGGCGGTGGGCGCGAATGAATAATTTAATCTGTCTTAAAAATATAATCCACGGCTTACGTTTCTGTCCGACATGAATGGGATGTATGTTTGGAGGGTGCTACCGGGTCACAACACAGGGGGACGCCGTCTGCTATGGTGATTTTGAGACTGCAGAGACGCTTATATTGTGGAGTCTGTAATATGGTGCCAATCTGGACTCGTTGAGGATTTCTCGAAATGCCCCGGCTGCTTTTGACACGTAAGCTATGGGTTTTATCTCCATGCAAGGCTTGACTTAGATGTCCGCATCTTTACTTTTATCACTTGTTATATACAAAGACAAGGCAATTTCCGTTGTTTTTCATCCGTCGTCATCAAGAATTGTGGCAAGTATGACTTATCATCTATCCGAATAGCTCGGAATTTTATTTACTTTCCATTTTTTCAACGCCATTGTAATTGAGGATAACGGTTCTCGGCTCCGTATGCAAAACATTACGCTGTCTGCGGCCAGGTAAACATGCACGGGATCACCGCACAACAGTATGGCTTGAATGCTGATGGCGATCATCTGGCTAGTGCAATCTAGATTGAGCTCGGAGATCTGTACGGATGTATATTTTTACACATTTTTTTATAGGTCGTACAGCAGGCTGGAATTCGTTTGGTTCTGGAACCACAGCGAAATGTTCGCATCATGTGTTCTCCCCTTTCTGTACCAGGGTGCCATGGTGGGTACTTTCACCGGTTTGATCATCATCTTCTGGATCGGAGTCGGTGTTCAAGTCGAAAAGGCATACGGCCGCATTCACTCTGACAAGCTTATGGTCTCGATCGAGGGCTGTCCTCGATATAACGTGACCAGTGAGGACCTGCTCACTACGACACTAGCGCCATCTACGACCACCATGGCCTCAGCGGAAGTGGAAGATCCGTGAGTGATTTAGCATGCAACTACAGACGACAGCACATGCGAGGCTTTCACGGAACAGATCACCCTTTTGTTATCTTGGTGGCATGCAAGTGCTCTCCACAAATGACAGCACGAATTTGAGTATGCGAGTGGCATCCATGGTGTCCGAGAGGTCTAGTCTCGAACATCGAAGTTATACCGTTAGGATGGGATGTTCGTGCTGCTGTCTCAATCATAATACTGGCTTGGTGATGGCCTTGTTATGTCGTGCTGTTATTTTCTCCGTCCTGGCGGGGCGACCGGGCTCAACGAAAGATATGATCTCTGCCTGAATTACCACACGCATACCAACCACGCCACGCCCTGGCGTCCGTGAGACCGTAAATTTTTTCACGCGTCTCTCCCCCCCCCCCCCCCCCCACCTCCCCACCGCAATTTCTTTCCACGCGTATCCCCCTCCCCCCCGCCTCCCCTGTCACCGTGACCGATCCCGCTCTCCGCGCCGCCACAGAGGGGAGGCGCTGGGCGTGTACTACCTGAGCTACATGTACTACTCTGCGCTGGCGTCGGCCGTCGTGGTGGTGGTCGGCCTGGTGGTCAGCTTCATCACCGGCGCGCGCGACCCCCGGCGCCTCGACCCGCGGCTGATCGTGCCGCTCGGCGACAAGCTCTTCTGTTTCCTGCCCGACTCGTGGCGACGCTTCCTGAACTTCCACGTCGGCGAGGATTTCGTGAGTGCTTACGTCGCAATGACTTTGTGAGCGTCTACGTTGGCGAGGAGTTTGTGAGAGTCTACGTCGGTGAGAGGTTTGTGAGTGTTCACCTCGGTGAGGAGTTTGTGAGTATCCAAGTCGGCGAGGAGCTTGTGAGTGTCTATGTCGGCGATGAGTTTGTGAGTGTCCACCTCCGTGAGAAGTTGTGAGTATCCACGTCGACGAAGAGTCTGTGAGTGTTCGATGGAGGAGTTTGCGAGCGTCCACATTGATAAGGTGCTTGTAAATGTCCACATCGGTGAGGAGTTCGCAGGTGCTTACGTCGACGAGGAGTTTGTGAGTGCATCGCCGCGCGCCGTGAGACAAGGCCTGATGCGCTATACAGTCTGGATACAGCCGAGAGTGACGCTGTTTTCCTTCGGGACCCCGCCGGATGTGATGGAACCTCACCGGGTGTGACTCTACAGTCGGAACACAGCCAAGAGTGGCGCTGAGTGTCTTCGGGATTTCGCCAGTTGTGACGCCGTCCTCGTTGTTTCAGGAGCCGGCCGATGGTAACGGGCTTGAAATGAAGACGCCCCCGGTGCACGAGAACGGTCACGAAAACATGGCAGGCCCCCACTTGAAGAGCTACACTGAGATCGACGACAGATAGGTCTGAAGACGGAGTCTGTCGAGGAGAGTAGTTAGCTATGTTGCACGTCATCCGATTGCCTTTGGAGTTTGTGCGAGTGCGTTGGCCGACAGCTGGGCTCCGGGGATATGGTGATGCCATGAAAATGCCTTTAACGGTGGTTCCCGGTAGTTAACATATTAGAGCATATCAGCGAAAAACGTACCGCTAGCAGTACACTAATGTCGAAGGTACGGGAGGAGGTATTTTACAGCCAGTACTCGTAAATGCTTTAGCAAAGTGACGTAGCTCATGGAAAATAATGGCGTTACATGTGAACGGTTGGGCCATTGGAGTACATCTTCATGCAACTGTTGCCCGTCGTCGCTCCGGCTTCGTAGTCGAGTTCTAAATCATCTCAGATGTAAGGACGTGTCAGCATGCGCTTGCTTTTGTAACAGTAAATCGCAACTGCCCACATTAAAATCCACTGCTTACGTTCGATGCTCGATTCCTTATGTCATTTAGTGACTGGAATACTCTCCTAAGAGGCCAGATATTGATGTGTGTTTTGGCAATGCTAAAGAATGAGCAATGTTATCTGATGGATAGTATTTTTCATGGTATCTGGCCTCACTTGAGTGGCTTTAAAAAGTCAAAAGTCTTACAGATTAACTCAAAATTAAGCACGGAAAACTATCCAGCATCAACCCAAAACTAGTTGCTCCAATATACGTCTTTTGTATAGCACGTATCTCACATTATCAGTTTTGGCGCCGAAAAGGGCAGCCAGCCAGCATTTGTATAAGGTGTGATGACTTTGGTGCGCACTGTGTCGACCTATCGACAGCCCTGAAACGAGTTGAGACGAGACGCCGGCGGGCCGCCATACTTATTCACGCCACCGAATGCATTTGCCATTGGTCTCAGCGTGGATGTGTCTACATGTGGTCGCTGCAGCATTTGTGCGTGACAGGTGTCCTGGAAAATGTATTACATCCTCACGCCGTGACCATTCGTGACGTCTCGCTCCTGGCAGAACGACATCCATACGAAATGTTCAAGTGAAATGCAATACATCATTTTTATCCA